AGTGTCTTTGTGAAGAGGTCCAAGCACAGGCAAGCTTTTAATTACCATGGAGGCGCTGGTCTCTCCATCTGGGTTATTTATAGGTCCATCGCACTCGCTCATCATGGAAAATGAGATTAAGAAGTATGTAATCTGCAAAGCAGGTTGCAGGCGTCCGAGTCGACCTACTTTCATGCCAGCTGCAAGCCTGCAGCAACGCCTGCGCCAGAGCGGCACTGCCAAGCTGCCACCTCCGCAGCCCTCAAAGCCAGTGCTGCAGCGGCCCACACAGATCGGGGGAGCCTGGTGCCCGGCTGGAGAGGGCTGTCCAGTCGGGGGCAAAGCACGCGGAGGCCTGGCCTCCCGCCCGATGCTTGCATCCCGATGCAGGGTCCCAGCTCTGGGGAAGGCACGGCACACCCAAGGCCGCAGTGGGACATTCCAGGGCCCAGCGGCATCTCAGGTTGTGGAGGCAGGGCCAGGCCAGCATGAACCTCCCACTGCAGGCCTCCCAAGAGGAAAAGGAACGTGCTGCGAGGGAGGCCGGGCAGCACTGCAGGCAAGCCCAGCGCGTAAGGGGCACATCAGGTGGCACACGCAACGCAACTGACGCAACAGATGGGGGCCTGCCCGGGAGAGCTGAGAATCCGAACTGAAAGGCCGTTCCCATTCATGATCCCCGAGTTAGGATCCCGATTTCTGCGCTGTGCAAGTCAGTCCCCATGAAATCGAATGCCAGTGCACGAGCTTTCAGTGCCGACTCTTCCAGGCTGCCCAGAAGCCTCCCTGCCGGCTTCTCAGCAGCTCCTCCCTGGTCCAGCCCTGGCGGGCTCTCCAGGCCACCCGCAAAGGGCAGCGCTCTCTGGACTGAGCCAGCCATGCCACAAACGCCTCCTCACGCCTCCTCACTTTGCCTCATCCTGTCAGGACTGACTTGCATTTGAATGGAGAAGGTACCTTCTGAGGTCAAGAAATTTAATAAAAATCCTGAACACAGATTTCAGAACCCTTGAACCATTTGGGCAGTTTGCGACCGACAGTCTCTCTGGACCTTCAGCCACTATGAGCGCAAATAAGAAGCGCTGCATCGCCTCCAAAGGGACAGCCGAGCAACCGCATCGCTATCAGAGGCACAAAACCGCCCATTCCTCACGCAAGCGCCTGGGAAAGCGGGCTTGCAATCAGCCCTAAGATGTTCCCAGCCCTCCTGCTCATGGATACATGTCTGGGGAGGGGAAGAGAGTGAGGGGACAGAATCCGTTCTCCTCCAACTCGCAAGCATTTCCCTATGCTGACTGGAAAAGCCTTTATCAGCTGGTGCCCCCCCACCCCCAATTCACAACCAGTCAGGAATCCTGAGTCACATGATCAGCACAGCCATAATGAGACCCAAGGCCATCCTGCCTCCTGGGAAGCAGGCTAGGACTCAGCAGGGCTGTCCACCGAGGTGGCTGGAGGGGACGGGCATGAGAGGAGAGTGGTCTGCCCCCGAGAGCGAGCAGGGCCTGCATGGGCAGAGGGAGAGGGAGGGGCTGCCAGAGGAAGCTCCTTTGGTAAAGGCCACCACAGCATTTCCTAGAATGGCAGAGCTGGAAGGGGTCCACCCCCTGCTGCTGCAGGACACCACGCTATACCTCCCCACCCAGGTGGCTGCCCAGGGTGGGGGGAAGTCTTCCTAAGGGGCCCACGGGGAAGTAGCACAGGCCTTCAGAGACCCGTCTGCACGGCTGCTTTTGGACGAGGCTGCTCACACCCATTCGGCAGTCAGACGCTTTGGACATATCTGCAGAAATTGCCTGCCCAGTTTCTGCTGATCCTTGTAAACGTGCACAGAATCTCCCCGCCAACACATGCACACACACAATCTGAACTGCCTCTCCCATCACTCTCAGCCAGCAGGGCCATGGCAGGAAGCTGAGAGTAGGAGTCCGAAATACTCCTACTCCCAGCTTCCTGAAGAACGCTGCGAATTCCAACTGGTATGAGAAAAGGTGTTGTGAAACCTCAGATTAAACTCTGGCACATTGGATAATTTCTGGCCAGTCACAAACAAGCCCAACCTTTTACTTACAGAGTATGCAAGACTTGCCTGTTCTTGGATGAGTCCACTGCCTGGGCCTCTCAGCAGTTAACGATCTGGAGAGCCAAAGGGAGGGCAGCCCAGGGCAATGACTCATACAGAGACTCAACAGGCAATAGCCTCTGAGGGAAGCTCCTGCATTTTGGTCATTCAATCACACTCCAGACAGAAACTGGGCAGAAGAAACAGAGTTTCCCACTCAACAAAGAAGGCTGATCAGAAAGAAGTCAGGTTGGAGCAGCAATTCACACAGAGAGGCACGGGCCATCCTCCTCCACTAATGTGCACTTGGACTTTCAGGACCCTTTGGTTGTCTGTTAATGTATTTCCATGGTGCACATTCGGGGAATTACTGCATGCACAACCCCCCCCCTTTTAATAGGTCATGTGCCGGAACACGCAGCCCAAACAGGGGCCCCATTTGCCAAACGTGCATCAGCTGGAAGCGCACGGAGGCAGCCGCAGCGTCCCACTTTCTCCAACATAAAAGGGCCTCGCTTCCATGCCTCCGAACAACGCACAACACAACACACACAACGCTTCCTCTCCTCCAGGAGGCTTAACCCATTTACATAAACTCCAGCTCAGACAAAGGCCGCTTGTTATCGCTGCTCTGCAAAGGAGCAGCTGCAAATCCTCCTGCAGCAGCACCTCGCCGGTGAGCAATATTTCCATCAAGGCTGAAAACCCGCTTTGTTGGGGCCTGTCGGGAGAGCAGCGAACGACTCCCGGCCACAATAAGGCTGTCACCAGAGGAGAAAGGCTCGTGGCTTGAACAAATCCCACCTGCAGGCAAGCCAGCCTCCCTCCGGGCCGGCCATTCACCACACTGGGCTTTGTGGGCGAGATCTTGTCTCCCAATGACAACACACACAGAGGAAAATGACCTGTCGCCCAGGTGAGGCCGCCCGCTGTGCCTGCCACAACTGGGGCAGAGAAGGCCCAGCCCACCCCTGCTTCAGTGAGATGAGGCCCACCGCTAGCACAGCCTTCCCCAACCCGGCGCCCTCCAGCACCTAGCCCACTTGCCAGCCCCGCCAGCAGATCCGAAAGGGGCTCCTACAGTCCCTGGAAACTGGTCACAGGGGCCCCACCGGCGCTCCACCAACCTGGGGGCTGGCCTGAGCAGGAGTGGGATCCTCACGTCAGTCCACGGACTGCCACGACCCCGGGGGGGGGGCGTCAAGGGAGGAGGAAGCAGCAGCAGCAGCTCTTCCGCAGGCCACACCCTCCCACCGCATGCCGCAGGCGTCACAGTTTAAGAATGCCATGCCCAAGCTCGGCGACACTTTCACAATGGGCCACAATCCCCTCTTCCCAGGATACAGGCTCAGTTTGTCTTTTGGTGCAATGGGTTACAGCTGGGAAATGTGAATTCAGAGGAGAGGCAGAGCAGTTTCGTTCTACTTCTTGTCATCACTGGCCTTGCGCCCTTTGCCCCAACAGCCGCTGCAGCACCTACACTGTCACTGGCAGACACGCCACACAAGCTGGCTTGCTCCTGGGCCGTGAGCCACTTGATGCCCCGTGGCCACGCTGCCGGACCCACGGTGCCTTGCCATGGTGTCCACACGCAGGCAACGCCAGGCTTCCTCATGGCTCCAGAGGAGGGCTGGCAAGCCACCTGGCACGACCAGAACAAGCCCTTTCCACCCTTCCGGTGCCCACGCAGCGTGGTCGAGCGACCGCCACTGGCTCGAGAGAGCACGGGTCCCTTTTGCTCACACCAGTTCTCCCGCTTTCCCCCTGCTCTCCACTACTTTTGAAGGCTTCTACCTTCAACTTCCAGGTGCCCAAATACCCACTCAGACAGATGTGGCGGATCCGTGCAGCAGAACGTGTTGGGCACACGTCAAGGCCACGGGGGGGGGGGGCTCCTCCCTGCCAGTGGAGAGGGAGCCCCAGCTTGGAGTCAGAGGGGCTCCGTGCAGGAGGGAGCACTTCTCTGCGCCACACCGAGCTTGGCTTTCTATTTGCACTTTTCACACGGGGCAGCGCACAAGCCAGATTCCTCCCACACCTAAAAAGTTCTGCCACATCATCCTGCTGCACGTGCTTGTCTGGCCCAAGCGATGAGAAAGCACGTGCGTGTGAGCCAGCCCTTCGCTGGGCAAGCGTTCCACCTCGGAAGACGTCGCACAGAGAAAGCAGGGCCAGCGCCTCAAAGGGCAGAGGGCAAAAAGTGGCGACTGAACCGCACGGCACCAGAGGCCCGGCAGTAGGAAGAGGGCACCCTCTCCCCCCTTGCCACCCAGTTGGGATCATCTCAGAGAGCTGTGTGGGAGCGGGTCTCCTTTCCGGGCTGCAGATGGCGGCTTTCCGGATTTCTCCCTGGGCACAAGGAGGACCTCAGGGCAGGGGGATTCTCCAGCAGCTCTACCCAAGAAAAGCACCTTCACCTGCTTTCCAGAGTCTAGGGTGCAAACACCTCCCATGTCCAAATCCACAGGTGAATTTCTGCCATCCTGTCCAAAGGGAAACTCTTGCAGGCTGGGCAGGGGAGAGATGCCCGAGGCCAGGGCTGACTCCAGGCTTGGAAGGGTCCTTGGCAAGGCCCCCGGGGAGTCACCCTTCTCCCTGCTGCAATCGCCTGCTCAGCAGGTGGGGCACCACAGAGCACAGGGCAGGAGCAGCATCGGATGGCAGAGCAAGAGGCGGGGGCAATCAGGGCAACAGCAAAGGGGCTCTTGCCCAACTGCGTGTGCCACCCAGAGATCTTCGGCGGCTTGGGGTGGGACAGAAACACAATGCACAATCAACAGTAGCAACTGTCAGTGGGGCCCCTGCTGGGTGTGGACCCTTGGCAAGAGCCCAGCCATGCCTGTTTCAGGTGCCAGCCTCACCTGCGTCAGAACAGCGCATTCCGCGCGCTGCTGCCGGAGGGCAGTCAGCCAGCAAAACCAGCCCGACCCTCCAGTGCGGAAGCCGCCCTCTCTCTTACCTGGGACAATGCCCGATGAGGAGTCGCAAGGAGGGCAGGTCTCCTTTGGCAGCGGCGTAGTGAATGGGTAAAGCGCCCGTGTCAGTGGCTGCTAGCGGGTCGCTGCCCCCAAAGCGCAGGAGCCAATCGATCACTTCATGGTGGCCAAACCGGGCAGCCAAGTGCAAGACCGTGGCACCGGAATTGTCTGTGTCCTGCAGGACAGGAGACACAAGGGGAGGGTCAAGGTGTCACCATGGAAGCTCGGCAGGTGCAGGGGGCCTGCAGCTCAAGACACGTAACCCTGCAGGACCAGGTCCACCCTGAGAAATTGGAGCGCATTATTCCAGATGACATCAGCAAGGACTGAAACCTTGCATGGGCATCATTTACAAAATTAAGGAAGGCCTGCACATTCCAAGCCTCTGGTCACATACAGCAAGTCAGGAGCACCTTTTGCTGGCCCAGTATAGTTGAGGTTTGGCTAACAAAATATTCATGTATGACTTTGTGGGCTGGTGAAGCCATTAGTCGTTTTTGCAAACTCTTCCAAAGCTGCCTATGAAGATGCCAACTGCTCATTGACCATCTGCTCTTCATTTGACCACAACAGCTTGAAAAGCACCCGGATTTACTCTGACAAGAGCTTCACTAATGCAAAGCGGGAGGTTAAGCCGTAAAGAGATGAGGGCCGCTGCAGGGATGCGGTTGGCGCTTGCCTGAGCCCAGGGAGGCCTGAGTTCAGATCCTTGCTCACCTGTGAAGAATTCTTAAGGAACTTATCCAAGGTGTACCTGGCAGGTATTTATATCCCAGCTTTTGCAATAGTGGCTTGTCAGACACATCATAGAAAACAGGATGGAAGGGCAGGTTAAACATTCATGTAAGCCATAAAAAATCCAGGAAAAGAACAACTCAGAAATCAATAAATGTAAAAGGGGCCCAATAGTAGAACATGCTATTTAGGCTGCTGTAGAACAGGATGGTGCTTTCCTAATACCTGGCGAAGAAAGCAGGGCCGAGGCGGCATGCAGGCCCTTTCCCTCGCCTCCACAGGTTTTAATTACATCGCTGAACCATTTTACAAGGTTGCCCTAAGGATTTCTGCAGTGGCACAGAAGTGAACCCTGAAAAGCCTTGCATAAAGGTGTCTCCTCTTAAGAAAGGGTTTGACAAACTTCTTCAATAATGAAGGAGGGAATGCCTAAAAGTGTGGAGAAGGGCAACTAAGACGAGGTTGCAGCAACTCACCTACAAGAAAAGATTGCAACAGCTGGGATGCCTTAGGGTTGAAGGAAGGTGGGTTAAGGAGGCGTGCAGAATTACGCATCCATGGTTTGCAGAAAGTGGAGAGAAAGACCATTTTCCCCCGACCCAATAAGACCGGAATCTGGGGTCATCCCATGATGCTGATTGGTGGAAAATTCAAGACAGATAAAAGAAGAACCTCTTTACAGAGCATGTGGCTGAACTACAGGAAGTAGTAATATCTTTGGGAAGTAGTATCTTTTGATGTGGAACAGATATAAATCCTGTAATGAATGTAGTACAATTAGAATGGAGGGTGGCAGAGAGGTCTTTGTGAGGCAGTTCAGAGCTGGGTGCACACTGCACACTCGACATGTTTAAAAAGTCAAAATTCTCCTGTGGGTCAGGACTGATCCCAAACTCTAAATACTGATTCCCAGGGAAACCTCTCTCCAGTATCAGTTAAAAAATGAAAACAATCTGCATGCATCTGCTTAACTGCAGGTAGTAATACGGTTACTTTTCTTTTTTAGTAGAAAAATTAAAAGTAACCACAGACAAAAATACCAACTGAAATGCAACAAAAAAGGACAGAAAGGTAGACACTAACTCAAAATTGGTTGTTCCTAAATATTATAATATCTACTTTCCAAGGGACTTGCATAGTTTGTGCTACTGAAATAAAACATTGAAAAATATCCTAACATCAAAGCACTGTTCCGGGTCTTTCAATGCCAGTGCTGCCTGCCCCCACTCCATTCCATCGCACATTTCAGCTGCAGGTTCCAGTTCAGCATCAGCTCTTCACTGCGAATGCCTACGCATGTTTCCTTAGAAGTAAATCACAGTCTCTGCGATAGGAGAGCACTTGCGCCCCTGGAAGTACACACAGGATTGCAGGCTAAGAATTAACAGTTTGAGTAATAAAAATTTAGTTCATTTAAAACAATACCTCTGAACATGAGCAAAGGACATTCCCTAACAACTGTCATCACCCACAGACAGTAACAAGAGATTTCTGGTCGAGGCCTTCTTGCCCGACAAACTGACCTGGGACGCTCCAGATCTGGTGGTGTGCAGACCCCATGCCCCCCCAGCCTGCAGCAAGGCGCCAGGTTGGGAAACTTGGGTGACCCTGCCTCAGAGAGCCGACCGGCAGCATTTGCAGCCCTCCCGCTGCGGAAGGCCAGCCACAGGAGGCTGGAGAAGACCCTCCCCTCGCGGCCACACGGCTGCAGGCAGGGCGAGGCTCGCTCCCAGGGATGCGCGTGAGGGACGGCAGCCCCAATGCCAGCCCTGCCGAGGCTGGCGCGCCTTGCGACTTGGCCCGGCCAGACCTGGCACCAAGCCACGGCCTGGCCCCACTGCCATGCAGCCGGGGCCCTCTCACTGGGTAGGACTGTGGTCTGCTGAGAGGCGGCAGTCTGGCAGGGGTACAACGTGGCGCTGGAGACTTCTGGAACATGCCGTGCGGGGCAACTTGGCGCATTTCCACAAGCCACGGCTGGTGACCGGGCCGGGAGGCGCCATTGCCACGTGAGGCTCAGGTGGCTGCAGCGGCACAAGTGACTCCCACCAGCTTTGCTGGTGGCCCAGCCGTGCCACCGACCGGGCAGGGATGACCCGGTGTCAGCTGCCGATGCGCTGGTAACGCCCGACGTTTTACTGCAAGGCACTCCACACGGGGCTGCCCTCGCAGGCTGCCCTGAAGCTGCCGTTTGTGCAAATGTTGCCGACGCTTGGAGAACTGGGACCAGAGGGTCCAAATGCATGATGGGGGTTCTGGCCGTGTGCGCTCGCTGCCTGTGTGTTTCACAGCCTGATCCAAAGTGCTGGTTTTCGCCTGTAACAGCCAGCACAATGAAGTTGTGAGAGTGCTGGCCCGGGACACAATAGATGCAGGGTCCGGTCTCCATTTGGGCATATGGTTGTTTGAATGACTTTGGGCCAGGCACAGACTCCTGGGGTTGTCGTGAGGTGAAAATGAGAGTGAATGGAAGATTGTGTGCACTGCCCTGGGTTCCGTGCAGGAAAAAAGTGGTGTGCAAATATGGACAGCCTATAAAAGCTATCTAGCTAGTTTTACACAGCTCTGGACTGGAGTCCCTGACAGAGCAGTCTGGATCCATGGTGCTCATCATTTCAGGCCCTCCGCCAAGGGAATCACAACAGGCCGCAGCAAGGAGCAGGGCCTTCCCAGCCACGGCTATGGGGCAATTTCCCAGGGAGACCCAATCTGTGCCAACATTATCATCTTTTTGGAGTCAACTCCTTCTCACGCAATTGGCAGAAACATATTATGAGGTTTTAATGGGGTTGAGACATTTTCTTACTGTTTAAAATGGTTTTTAAATCGCTCTCTCTCTGCTGTATGTTTATGTTTGCATCTCTTTGGCTTTTATACTGCGTTGTGAATGTTTACCTGTCCGTAAACCAGGCAGAGAAGTTGGCTATCAGGCGCTATAGGGATGGAATCAACAAAGCGAGATGCCAGTGCTGGTTTTGGCCAACCCCGTGCATGAGTCCCACTGCTTTTTGCTTTTGGAGGCTGCCATCCTTGAAGACGGGGGGTGGGGGCGGGAGGTGTCCCATGCCTGGTTTGCCTGCCAAGAATTTAAAAGCTCAAGCCATGGTTTGTGCTTCTAAAATACTATTAGAGCAAACCTTGCAAGGTGGGGTGGCCAGATGGAGTAAGGCAGCAGGCTTGCGAAGTGGAACCGCCACCTGCTCCCGCTAAAGGCAACTAATGCCCAAGTCCGCAGGAGGAGGGTATAAGCCAGCCCGAACTGGGCATGTTTGGCCTGAAGAAGACTGCGGGGAGACAGGAGAGCACTCTGCACGTGCTTGAAAGGCTGCCACAAAGAGGAAGGTGGGGCTCTCTTCTTGATCATCCAGAGTGCAGGACATGGACTATCCGGCTCAAGTTACAGGATGCCAGATTCCAGCCACACAAGAACTTCCGGACTGTGAGAGCAGTACAGCAATGGCACCGATCACCTAGGGAGGACCCAGCTGGAGGCACTCCAGATGCAGGTGGACAGTCAGTCACCTGTTGGAAACCCTTTGAGTTCTGCACTGAGCAGGGGGCTGGACCTGAAGGCCCTCTAGGCTCGTTCCAACCCTATTCTAAGACTCTATGAAACCAGGTGAAACAGGAAAAGCAAACCCACAAGGAGTCTCCCTGCACAATCCTATGGTCACTAGAGAGCATTTTGCAGCCAAAGGATTTTTCAAAGTCCCTGCTATAGAGTTGGGAAATTGCTCCAACTGTCTAGCTGGAGAATCTGTGCATGGAACACCCTCTCCCCTCCTTGCAGCATTAGCTGCTTCTCTGCGGTTGCAAGAGCATCCTTGGAAAAGGCGTAAAGAGGGTTTTTTGAGAGGCAGAGAGGGGAGGAGAGCCGGTCCGTCAGATGCAAGCCCCACGGCTTCCTCCCTGCCCCGCCCCGTTTGAAGCACCTCTGCAAGATGACCCAACTTGGCCATCTCGCTGGCTGGCTGAGAAGCAGATGGTCCAAAGAAATCAGTGCGGAAAAGAGAACCCGAGAGCTTCAGACCCCAAACAGTTCACCGAGACAGGCTTTTGTAAAAGGCAGCCGATCCCATGTGTTGGATCTTTCCAGCTCAAGGGCTGCATTCAATACTGGAGAAGCTCTCAGGGCCAGATGCCAGGTGGGCAGGGCTGAAGGAAAAGTGGGAGGGGCCAAAGGACACCGAAGGCCAGCATCTTGTAGCATAAAGCTCTATCTTGAGTAGCTAAGGGTCTCTGGGCAGCTTGCACACAGTTACGAGACTGAAATGCCAGCCAGAACCTAAAAGTCAGGAGTGGCATTTTAACTTTTTGGAAAGGGCGAGGAATGTGTGTAGTAAGCTGGGAAGCACCAAAGGGTCCAGCATGGAGAAGGGGGTGGGAGCATTGAGCACTTCTGACAGCTGGAGGTGGCGCATCAGCCTGAGGTCCTGCTATACCGATCTGGGCCCCTCCCAGGCCTGCCTCCTCTGTGCCCTCTGGGTGTGTTGCGCCAGGGAAGGCAAAGGCAGAAGACCAACTATGGGACGGGCCAGTTCCATGAAGGAAGCCACGGCCTTGGGTTGGCGGGAGCTGAGCAGTCAGGGACATGGCGAGTTGAAGGACAGGAGTCCACTGGGTGGCCACAGGCTGGAGGTGAGTGGGCAGCATGTGACATCAGCACTGGCACCGTGCATCCAGAACACAACTCTGCCCGGAGGGAACGTTTGTGCACTGCATGAGACCAAGCCACCAGGGCATCCCCTGAGCCCAGAGTAGGGGCTGCTGCCAACAGGCCTCTCCAGCCTTGGTCCTGGCCTTCCGATCAGCCCCTCCCAATAGGAGCAGGCCGGTCTGTCTCCGCTCTGCCCTCGGAAGCCCTTTGGTCACATCCAAAACCAGCACAGCAGAATCATTTGCCCTCTCCGTTGTGCTTGCCATGAGCCCCTGCCCTGGGCTTGCCTTTCCCCTCAAGGGCAGTTAATTCCCACACACTTGTACAGGTAAGTCTTTTCAGAGGTGCCTCCTGCTGTGCTGTTTTTAAAGGGCTTGGCCTTCCGGAGTTCAGGAATCGCTGATAGTGGCGGTACTCTGACAGCTAGGCAGTCCTGTGCTCTCCACTTTCCAACTAGTTCTAAACTACTGCTTGCTTCTTCCCTAGCTGCTGGCTCTGCTGGATGGGGCTGGCTGGAGCCCAAAACAGCCGGAGGGTCCTGCTCTGAGCTCTTAGGGAGAGGGATCCTTTCTTGGCTAGGCAGGAGCACTTCCAAAAGTAGGGATTAAATGCAAGCCCTGCAGCACACAAAGCAGGAGGTGCTTCCCTCCCCACCCCCCACTGAAGGCACGATGCACGGGCCCCAGAATTCCTGGCCTTTCCCAGCCATCAGGGCAACCACACTGGGGCAATTAAACACCAAACCAGGATACCTTTAAAGTGGAAACTCCTCAGGGCAGAGACCCACCCCTTAACATGACCGCACATTGTGCCACACCTTTGCACAGACCTCAGCGGTCCTTTGCTCAAAAGGCTGTTTAAAATGCCAACTTCTAATAAACCTTCCTTGTTTATTCAAGTGGAGGTAATTCTTATTTGCAACAGGCAATCAGGAAAGCTGCTTCATAAAAACTCTCTGGAAGTTGTATAAAGAATTATATTTTACTGTCCAAGAAATCCACACGCATCCTCTCCAATTTCCCCCAGTTTTCTCCCCTCACCTTGCGCCTCCAGCTTCTGGTAAGAAGAGGTGCACCCAATAGTGACTAAATCACCAGCTGCACCCACAAAAACAATTCTTATATCTAAAGTATAAGGCAGCAAGACCATAACAATTAAATAATGTGATTTGTTTAACTGTCACAGTGAAAGAGTTTTGGACATTTGCTGATCATATTTCAGGGAAAAAAAACTTCCCCGAGGAGAAAAAGGATCACAATGTATTAGAAATGAAGAGAGTGGCCCTTTCCAAGCTGCACTGGAAACTCCCTGCACAGGGGTGTGTTTTGGATCTTGCTGTTGAGAACTCACGAGAACTCCTCCCAATGCAAAGTCTGCGCTGTGGAATACCTGCTGAATGCAGCAGTTCCTCTAAGCGCGAGCAGAAGGCATATTCTCCGCCACACGGGGACGGCCCGAGGATGAACATGTGCATTCGGAAACACGCACATCTCACGGAGTGCCCAACAAGCAAGTCAGAGTCAAACTGCCATCGCCCAGTGAGGGGCGCCTCCCTTAAGCATTTCTGACTTCACGCGCCGGGGCTTCATGAACGCCGGTCTGACGCCCGGCAAACCAACGAACGCACGGAGAGGCTAAATGTGGCCTCTTCTGGCCGGGAAAATAGAAACTCTTCCCCTGCAAAGAACACCGGGGACAACCCAGCCAACGTCTGCAGAGAAGTTAAAAGCTGTTGCTAAGCCCAAACCGTGCGCTTGCACAGAACTGGCGCCCCACTCAGTGCGGGCCACGGCGCGCGAAGCCCCCCAAGACGGGCCACCGCCCCGCCCGCGGCTCACCTGGACGCGGCAGCCTCCCTGGGTGAGCAGCCACTGCAGACAGGCCAGGTTGCCGGTGGCGGCGGCGTCGTGGCCCGGCGTGGCGCCGTTGCGCGCCCTCCCGCAGCCCGCCAGCGCCGCGTCCTCCACCAGGTAGCGCAGGCAGTTCAGCTTCCCGGCGCGGGCCGCGTGGTGGGCCGGCGAGGCGCCCAGCGGGTCCCGGAGCGCCGCCGGCTGCAGCTGCCCTTCCGCCTGCAGCGACTTGAGCGTGTCCACGTCTCCCTGGCGGGCGGCCTGCAGAGCCCGCTCCAAGGCCATGGCCACCGCCTCCGACGGCAGCAGCCCGGCCTGCCCTTCAGCACCCGCGGGGTGCCATGCCGGCGCCCCGCTGCCTTGCAGGGGCGGGGGAGGCAGCCCGCTTCGCCTCCCTCCCGCGCTTCGGGCTCCTCGCCCGTTCCGCGCCTGATCTCGGACGACGCGCCCGCTTGGCCCGGACCGCGGCCCGGGCCACCCTCGGAGGATGCCCCCCTCGGCGCCCGCGCACCTGCCGGGACGGCGGCGAAACCCGCCGCGCAGCGCCGGCCGTCGAGGCTACCCGTGCGCACTCCGCGCGACGCCTGCCGGGCGCGGGCGGCGGAGCGCGTCTTTCGCCCGGCTGTCGACTCTCCGCCCCTCCCTGCCTCCCGCCCTCCTCGGAGCTGCTCCGCGGCGCCCCGCCGTCCCGCTCCTCCCCCTGGCCGCGCGGCTGCTCGGGGCCGGCCGGGCTGCCGGGTGCGCGCGGCCGGACGGGGCGCGGGTGCTCCCGAGCCGCGCCTCGCGCCGTCAGCGCCGGTTCCCAGCGGGCCCGCTTGCTGGGCCGGGCCTCTTGGGCCGCTCCGCCGGCGCCGCATTCTGCCGGCGCCAAAACCCACTTGGCGTGGCAGGTCAGCCTTGTATGGGACTGGGGGCCCATTTCCCCACGAGAAGAATGAAGGGAAAGGGAAGGGTGCAGTCGGAAACAGGCGGCACGTGCCCCGCAATTTGGGGCTACCGCTTCATGGCTTTGCGTGGGGTGGCCTGGAAGAGAAGCGGAGGGGCTGGCGCGCCTTCTGTGAAACGCACCGCGATCTGCGCGCGCGCCTGCAGGGGGAACGTGCCACTAGCCTCTGAGCAAGAGAGCCTTCCCTCTTGCCAGCCGCCCTGTATTTCTTTCCCTTTTTAAAATCGGGCTCCCCGTGCAAGTGTAAGGCTGCGGCCTTCAGCAGAGGAGTGGGCAGCTTCCCCGACAACTATTTCAGGCTGCAGCCCCCCTCGGTCCGGTCCGCAGGAGGCACCATGTGAGCTGCAGGGGGAAAGTGGGACCCACCTTTGAGGGGCCCTGTGCAGGATCACAGGCAGGTTCTGTATAGCCTGAAGTGTGTTGCTTTGATTTTTCTGTAGGTAATAAAAATGGGATACAGGAGCCTTGAAGAAGTATCTGGCACATTTGCATGTGAGAAAAAGGCAAGCGACTTCCTTTGCTTTTCGGTGGTGCAGCCTCACAGCCACTGTGGCTCTGCTGGAAGGGGCATTCCTCACACTGTCTCACACCAGACGGAATGCTCTTCGAACACAGAACTTGCCCTTGAATCAAAGAAGCACTTTCCTTTGAAAAACAGAGGCTTAAAAAGTATCTTTGGCTCATGAACTGGGAGTGCCAGACAAATTGTTCACCCCAGCTGGGGCAGCAGCACTGCATGCCAGAAAGACACATCCCTTGCGTGGCGTAGTCATCGGGGGATGAAGAGCACCCCACCAAGATCATCCTGCCCCTCTGCACACCTGTGGCGCGGCCACACATGGAACACGATGCACTGTTCTGATTACTGCACCTGAAGGAGTGGCGGGAAAGGCAGAGGATGGGTTGGAGCAAGTCCCCTGCAAGGGCAGGTTGGACCCCCTGGGCTTGTGAGGCTTAGGAGAAAGGTGAGTCGAGGAAGATGAGCAAGATGTTCGGAATTGTGCATGGTGTGGAGAAAGTGGGTGAGAGACATGTGCTCCCTCTTCTGTAATAGTGGGACCTAAAGGGGTCTTCCCCTGAAGCTGATGGGTGTGGAATCCAGGAGAAACAGAAGGAAGTGCAGCCAGACGACCGGACTCATCCCGTGAGACGTCCTGCTGGCCTGCAATTTGGGCGGCCTGAAAGGCGGGCTGGACACATTCAGGGCGGGGGGAGCTCTCCTGGCTCCTATTCCTGCTGGCCCAGTGCCCCCTCCAGTATCAGAGGCAGTATGCATGTGCAGACTACTTGCTGGGGAACATGGGTGGCAGAGTGTGCATGCACTATGTACTCTTGCGTGTTTGCTGAGGGTACCTGGCTGGCCCTGTGAGAACTGCATGACCCAGCAGACCTCTCCTCATGTTCACTTAACTGGGAGTGTGACCTGTGGAGCTTTATGGGGGCGGCTTCTCCGCGGACAAACAGGATCGCTCTGCTCTCTGCTGATCCACTGGAACGATTCTGGGTGTATTAAGAGGGAAAAGACTCTGCACAAGCAGCCGCTGCTTATGCTGCCATGGATGCCCCTTTCACGCACGCAGGTGGAGGGTGCAGGATGCAGGTGGGAATGGGGTTGGCTGCCGTGGAATCTGCTCCAGCCCTCAAGCATCCTGCAGGTCCTTGGCATGAAGCCTGCCCTCTGAGCTGGATGCAAGGTTCTGTTGTTGATAGATGAAGCCCCATGCCTTGGGGCCAGGCTGCTGAGCGGATTGCCTTAGTCGCCCCCAAGGGCTTCTGAGCAGGCCATACTGGCCATTCCATGGCTGTGGCTCAGCAGGCCTTCTCGGTGGTAGCACCAGTTCTTTGGAGCACTCGCCATGTGTGACTGAGAGGTCAGAGCGATGGCCAGTTCTGCACACCTTCGCACGACACTGCTGCTTTCACAGGCTGTTCTCAGCGTGTGTTCTTGCTCTGCTGAGGGCATGTTTCTACATATACTCAGGGTGCCTTCCTACTGAGATGACCCCAAACCCAGTAGCCAGGGATCTTCCACCACAGAGTAGTAGAGGTGACCCTGCCTGCCCATGCCACAATTTCTCCAGGAGCCATTTTTGGCCTTCTAGCTGGGATGCTTCAGAGCAGGAGGGAAGGAGACACGGGGTGTGTCACCCCCTCACCTTGGCAATGCCTTCCTCTACTTTCCCCTTTCCCAGCAGGCCGCCCACATCCCCTTTCCAAGGTTTCCAAGAAAGAAAGAGTGGTGTTCTTTCATCAGCTGCATGGGAAAGAGGGATCGGGGCATGGTGTGCCGGTTCTGAGCTCAGAGATGACTCCAGCCTTGGATCTGTGGGCCCACTCATAGGAACACAGAATCATAAATAGAAGAGTTGGAAGGGGCCATGAAGGCCATTGGATCCAAAACCCTGCTGTTGCAGGATGCCAATTTATACCACCCCACTCAGATGGCTGTGCAGTTTCTTTTCTCTCTAGTGTGGGAGAGCCCATGACCTCTCTAGGCAGCTGGTTCCACTGTCATAATGCTCTGATAGTGCAAAGACTTTTCCTGATATCTAGCCTGAATCTGGGTTGTTGCAACTTGAATGGATTATTCTGTATCCTACACTCTGGTATCAACAAGAAGAGATCTTGACCTTCCTCTTTGTGACAGCCTTTGAGGCACTTACAGAGGGACACCATGTCCCCCCTCAGTCTTCTCTGCTCAAGGCTGAACATGCCCATTTCTCTCAGTCGCTCCTCATAGGTCAGCATTTCCAAACCCTGGGTAATTTTTGTCACCCTCTGCTGGACCCTTTCTAATTTACCTGCATCTTTCTTAAATCATGGCACTCAGAACTGGACACAGTATTCCACGTGAGGTCTGACTAGTGAGGAGTATAGAGGAACTACTACTTCTTGTGATTTGGAAGTAATACCTCTGCTAATGCATCCCAAAATAGCATTTGCCCTTTTGGCAGCTGCATCACATTGTTGGCTCTTGTTTAGCCTATTGTCCACAATTACTCTGAGGTCTTTTTGTTTTTCAGTTCTGTTGAGCCACATATTCCCCATCTTGTATCAATATCTTTGGTTTCTTTTTCCTAGGTGAAGGACTTGACACTTGTCCTTGTTGAATCTCATTCTGTTGCTTTCAGCCCAGTGTTCAAGTTTATCAAGATCACCCTGGATCTTCATACTGTCCTCTAGGGTGTTTGCTATTCCGCCCAGTTTTATTTCACCTGCAAATTTGATTCTCTTTCCTGGTACTTCCTCATCTAAATCATTAATAAAGATGTCTGACTGAACCCTGTGACACCTCACTAGTTACCTGCCTCCAGTGTGAGAAGGTGCCACTGATGAGCACTCTTTGTGTCTGATTTAGCAGCCAAGTTTGGATCCACCTACTAGTTTCTCCATCTAGTCCAGTTTTTGCTAATTTGCTTATCAGAATGTTGTGCAGCACTAAGTCAACAGTTTTGCTAAAGTCTAGGTAGATTATGTCCAGAGTGTTCCCTTTGTCCATATGGGAGGTTATCCAGTCAAAAACTGAGATTAAATTAGTCTGACAGGATTTATTTTTGATAAATCCATGCCGGCTTCTATTAATCACTGCATTTTCCTCGAGATGCTTGCAGATGGATTTTTAAATAGTTTGCTCCAGAATTTTTCCAGGGATTGATGTCAGACTAACTGGTCTATAGTTCCCAGGTTCATCTCCCCCCCCCCCCCCTTTTTGAAGATAGGGACAGTGTTAGCCCTTCTCCAGTCGTCTGGCACTTCTGTTTTCCAAGATTTATCGAAGATGATAGCCAGTGGCTCTGAGTTCCTCCGCTAGCTCTTTTATGACTCTGGGATGGAGTTCATCGGGCCCTGGAGATCTGAAAGTGTTTATTCCACCTAGGTATTCCTTGGCCATTTGTCTGTCAATCTTGTGCTGCCAGCTCTCATTTCCAGCTTGAACTTCCTCTTGATTATAGATTTTCTTGTGGGAAAACACTGAAGCAAAGTAGGAATTGAGTGCCTCTGCCTTTTCCTTGTCATCTGTTATCACTCTGCCACCCACTTTAAGTGGCTGGACACCCTTCTCTTTCTCATGTCTTCTGTTCTGGATGCATCTGAAGAAGGCTTTCTTGTGCTTAGCTTCCCTTGCTACTCTCAGTTCATTTCCTGCTTTAGCCTTCCTGATGCTGCAGTTCCTGCAATTCCTTGCTATATGTTTATATCCTTCTTTTGTGGCCTGGCCCTGCTTCCACTTCCTGTACATGTTCTTTTTTTTTTCTTTCAGGCTGTCACTTAACCGTTTGTGGAGCCACATGGGCTTCCTCTGCTGTCTTCCACACTTTTCTCTTGATGGAATTGTTCA